AGCTTACGAGGATATGCTTCCGCCAACTTTGTGCGGAACCTGCCTGAAGCGTCCTTTCCGGACAGCTCTTGATGTTTCTGTCCTGTGATGACACAGACGGGCCCTACACATCTGAATTTGGCCAAGGGCGCCAGGTCGAGGAGAAATGCCACGATCTTGGTGCTCTTCCTCCAGGGCGTTCCGAAACGGCAGTACTCGATCACCTGGGACGAGACCTGCTGGCGTCGGAGCAAGGCGAGCATTGGCGGCAGCTGCCGCGCGTAGCTCAGCGCGGGGTTCTCCAGGGTCCACGGGACGAAACACTGGCAGCACAGCACGCAGAACGATATCGTGAGCCGCGCGTACAAGTTGCCCCACTTCACTTTCTGGAAGTCGACGCCCTCGATGGGGAGGCTGGGCAGCCCCCAGACGTACTCCTGCGACCTGAGGCGGGGCGGGCCGTTGGGGCGGTCTCGTGCCCGTGAGAAAGTCTCGCAGGGAAAACCAGCATGCAGGCCGCAGACGAGCCCCGCTCGAATCCAGCCCCGAATGAGGCGGGCGTTCCTGGGGTCGCGCAGGTCGTAGGCGGGGCCGTACACGATGTCCCAGCGCAGGGTGGGGACGTTCCCCCGTCCCACGGCGTCGGACAGGTGGCCCGAGCCCGCGAACAGCTCGAGGAACACGGCGATGGTCGGCGCCCTCAGCGGCCCGAAGGTGGCGCCTGCCTCCCCCGCGGCGCGTCGGGGAGCACCTGAGCGGTCGCCGCGGCCCCCCGCTGCACGTCGGGCGGCAGGCGGCGCAAGAGGTCGGCCAGGCGCCCCCCGTGCCAGTAGCGCCGGAGGCTCAGGGTCGACCGCCACCGCTCGCGGCGCTGGAGCTCGACCCGCCGCCGGGCGCTGGTCGCGGAGGCGGCGCTCGCCCCCGTGTGCCCGAAGCGGCAGGCGTCGGGCAGCCCGAGGGGCCCCAGGCGCCAGGCAGCGGCGGCCCCGTCCAGGGCCCGCCGCAGGGCGCAGGGCGAGAGCTCCCGCCCTGGTCCCGCGCGGCGCGCCAGCACCAGCTGCACCAGGGCGTCCGCGAGCTCCGCTTGCCGGTGGAGGTCGACGACGATCGCCTGGTCGAACTCCCAGCCCTGGGGCGGGGTCCGCATCCCGATCAGGTGGAGCAGCACCGATGTGGGGGCCCCCTCGCGGGCACCGCTGAAGGCTCCGGCCGCCGCGGCGCGGCACCGTAGCAAGAGTGGCATCCCCGGGCGCGAGAGCAGCTCCATCATCTTGAGGCCCGCCAGCGCGTGGGGTCGCCGCCTCTGGCGGCACGTCCAGCTCGCCAGCAGCGCTATCGCGTCGTGGGGCAGGGGCCGGCGGCCTCCTGCCGGGGCAGCACGGCGATGGCCCCGCGGGCAGTGGCGGCAGATGGGCATCCGCCCGTCCCCCCGCCTGCCGAGGCGGGGCCTGGCCCACCGCGCCGACGCCAGGAGCTTCTCGCCTGCGCTCAGCGAGCCGCCTCTCCTGAACATGGTCTCCGTCCCGCCCGCGGTGGAGAGGTCCCTCTCCTCCTCGGTGATCGGGCGGACTCCGCGGGAGTTGGGGAGCCTGCGCAGGGCGGTCAAGTAGAGAGAGCACTTGGCCTGAGTCATCGCCGATACCGAGGCCCTCCGAAGCACACCCGTCCGGGCCTCCAGGGCCCGCCCAGCAACCAGCTCGGTAGCGCGCCCAGCCCGCACCCGCGCCGCTGCCGCCCGCGGGCCCCCAGATGCCAGGGGGGCCGAGGCCGGGGGGGAGGCCGACCCCGAGCTGGGCAGCGGCGGCAGGCGCCCCGCGAGGGTCGTCGACCTGTCGGACCTGCCGCGCGCCAGCCTCACGGCCCTCGTCGGCGGCGGCTGCGAGCTCGCGCCGCAGGCCGGCAAGCGGATCGCTCGGCGCCGGGCGCCCGCGAGACGGCCCGTCCGCAGGGTTGAGCTCCGACGCGACCCACCGCGACCGCAGGAGGCTGCCGGTCCCCAGCAGCAAGGCGCCCAGCCGGCGGGTCACCGAGAGCATGCCTTCGGAGGAGGACCGCCCCTTCGCGGCGGCCAGGGAGGCGGAGATCGAGTCCCCTATCACGAGCAGCCTCGAGCCCAAGTTGGCGACGGACCTCAGGAGGTGGCGGACCCCGTACAACAGCGCCTCCGCTTCCAGGGCCGGCATAGACCCCGAGGGTCGTCTCCACTTCTGCCTCCCGCACACCTTCCAGGGGGCCCTCAAGAGGTCCAAGGGGACGTCCTCGAACGGCACCCGGCGTCGGCGGTCGAACTCGCTTTCGGGCCGGTCTCGCCCAGTCTGGGGCCGCGCGTGCTCCATCAGGATCCGCCCGTCGGCCTCCCCTTCACCCCTGTGCAACTGCGCAGCGGCCGCGGCGAAAGCACGCTCTCGGAGCGGCAGCCCCTCACGGGCCGCCACCCGAGCCCCAGCTCGCTCCGAGTGTCGGCAGGCCTCCTTGACCAGAGCCACCGGCGGTCGTCCCCGAACGGCCCCAAGGCCCCACG